TATGAATTGGCAAGCAATGATGGAGAACAGAATGGCACAGCCAAGGAACCAGAGATTATGGACTGCATCCAGCAACATCCTTCTGCCACTGGTGGACGGATCCCCTTACAGCTCCAGAGCTGCTCTGTGGGGCTTGGGAGTCTCACCACAGCAGACTGGGGAAAATGTGAGCATGAAAGGCAGCAGGGGACAAAAAGAGCTCTCATTATGCAAACTAAAGTTTCCTGCCATAACTCTGGATTTAGTTGAACTGAAATAACTGACTACAGGTACTTACGAGAAAAAAGCTTTTGCTACCCAGTTATGGACAGAAGAAAGGTGAAATGCAATTGTTCGCACAAAGCTTTGTTTGCTATTCAGTGTTCTTTGACCACAATGCTTCCAGAACACTAAGTCAGTGGGTGTTTGTTTGGTTTTTTGGCCATCTCCTCCAGGTATTTTGGGCTTTGTTCATGGGGACTATCGAAAACTTCTGGAAAGCGAATGCTTGAGAACCTCTCTACTAGACCACAAGTATCTTGGTCACACTTGCTGTCACTTCAGTTCAGGTTAACCAGGCAAGTAAGTGGCTCTTACTCATTTACACAGCATATGCAACAACATGGCCACACTAAATACTTTGGAAGGCAAAAAAAAGGCAAGTGGTACAAGCAATCAGAAAAAAAAAGAAAAGAAGATAATAAATAAATTATAAATTAAACTGAGTTCTGGAGAAGCAAGAGACAGTCACATGAGTACAACTAAGTGGCAGTGCAAAAAAAAACGCTCTTACAAAATCAGAAGAGCAAACCCATCAAGTCACATACACATTAAGTCAATCCCTGCGACTCTGTATAATCATTTTCTACAACAAACTATAATATTATTTGGAACCTCTCTCACTGGTGATTTTTATGTTTCAGGAAACACAAGCAATAAGCTCCTTTCGTTTGCACATGTGAAGCAGAGACGATTAATACGCACACAGTGTATGTTCTGAGCCCCAGGCTAAGTCACATGCTGGGAAATTAAAAGAGGCAGGCACGAGTAACAGTGCTGTTGCCCTCCAAGTCAATTTAGGACAGCTAAGACTGAGATGCTGAAGATCAACAAGTCTTATTTTCAAGCACATGGGGCTTAGACTTAGCATCCATATTATAAATCCAACAAATTATTATTTTTAATTAACAGTCCATGGTTTTTCACTTTTATATCTGTCGTCTTAGTCTTAGAAATTGTGAGGTATTTCCAAGGGAAACTAGCCTGCAAGAAAATCAACCGTTAAACTTTATTAGAAATTGTGAAGTTTCCTTTACTGCTTCTTTCTAGTCCTATGTGACTAGTGGATGCCTATGTATTTTTGTACCTCTGCATATAAAGCTCTGTTTAATGGTGGGATGGATATTTCATGGCCCGCCAAATGTCGTTAAAGTGCAACTCTCTTATCAGTGCAAGCCAATGGTGAAGGATGAGAGATGTTGTGATCCGACAGCACATGGAAGGCGACACATGGCCTTCCCGTGCTATCATAAGACTAGCATACTGACCTAAGTCTAGTGAAAAAGTCTACTACAATTTTAAGTAGAGATATGGCATTTCAAGACATACACTTTCCCCCACAACCTGCTACCCGATCCTTTCAACTGGAGTCGCCATAGACAGAACCTGGGACAGTTTGCAAAATTCTTACAAAACAAGGCACATAAACGTCCAGTGCCCAGGGAAGCAGGAATAGTGATACCTTGTTACAGGGAAGATAACCAGGAAGTGACATAATTTGCTGCTCCTGTCTCAGAGGAGGTGTTCTCAGTTTCGCTTGTGTAAAAAAACAGACAAAGGGAGTTGATAAGGTTTGCCTTCATCATCTTAGTGTCCAACCCAAGTACGACCCCCCCGCCTAGACTTGCCGCAAAGGATCAACTGGCAAGCCAGTGTGGGCCACTTCGAGGTCTCCAAATGTTTTGGACTTTAACCTCTACAATCCTTTACCAGTGGTTAAGCCAACAGGGAAGAGTTAAGAAATTCCAAACAGCATGTCCCCGTCCACCTCAAAAATGCAATTAAAAGCATTCCTATATTAGAATTTAGAAGCTGGAAAATATTTGTCCAGGAGACATTATTTTTACAACAGAACTTTTCAGTCTTTACACTACAAAATAGCACAAGCACATATACAAGTGAGCTGCACTGCCTGTTGGTTGCAGGTATCATGGACCGTGCGCCTATTGACACTTTCCCAGCCACAACCCTATCATAATCCCATTTGAAATGGCAGAGCTATCTGATGGAAGTGTGGTTCCCAAGCTTAGATCCCCAGCTGTCCTTGGATTCCTGCTTTCAGAAATCCTGGCCAGCACAGCTAGTGGTGAAGGCTTCTGGGAATTTTAGTGTAAGAACATCTGGGGACCTAAGGCTGGAAACCACTGTGAAGGAAACATTAACTTTCCCCAGGCACTGAATGCTACACTGTGAGTAAAACAGATGTTTCACTGACAGACTTTTTAGACAAAGATGCTTGGATACTCTATAACAAAAGGCTATTAGGAATGATCACAGAGGTAAGAATCCATTTTCAACTCCAGCAGAAATAGTTGGAGCTCATGCCTTATGAGAAGCAACAAATAGGCAGACTATACTCTTCAGGGAATAGGGAAACAAAAGGGCAGGAGAGAAGGAAACAAGGGATCAAACATTCCTACCCCCTGAAAATCCACTGAGAGCCACACCAGGCCCCAAAATAAAGGAAAAACATAATCTAAACTCGATGTTAATGGAAATCTACACTGCATTTCATTTTTGTTGGTTTTAGGGTTTTTGCAGGGAGCTCTACAACCCTATTTTATTGCAAAACCAGTCCTGGACCCTTTCAAGAGCAGGAAATGACTTTAATTTTTTATTTTTTAAAGAACATACAATTGTACAGAGCGGGTGAATAGGGAAGTCCACCTATCATTCCTAAATTGTTGATGCTTACTTACAAAGCTCTAAACAGTTTAGGACCTCGATACTTGGTGGAGCGCCTTCTCCCACCAAGATCTACCCATGTCACTTGTGCGAGCCAGGAGGTGAGGCTGAGGAGCCTAAAGCCGAGAGAGGCCCGGAAGGAAAAGACCAGAAATTGGGCCTTCTTGGCGGTGGCTCCTCGCCTCTGGAACAACTTACCTCCTGAGATTCACGCGGCTCCCTCACTGGGCATTTTTAAGAAACAACTAAAAACACTGATGTATATAGGCAGGCCTTCCCAACAGAAAATCCCTGATGATTTTTCTTTCTCTATATCTCTCCTCGACTTCTATCTCTGTTTAGGTGTAACGTTTTTAAAATTATATTGTTGCTGCTTCTTATTGTAAGCCGCCTAGAGTGGTCTAATATGACCAGATAGGCGGGATAGAAATAAAATAAATAAATAAATAAATTTTACTTTAGCCAGTTTTACTCTGAAGGCACAGTTTTTTGGGGATTCCTCTTCAAGGACCAAAGGGGGAAAAAAGACTCATGTGTATTTATAAAACAACAAACTCGATGCCGCATGCCGCTTTGCACAAGCACTGCCCAGGATGAGGCATTCAGGATCATTTCCACTGTCGTAGACAAGAAGACCCGGCTGCTGAGAGGGGGCGGCAAGGTTCTTTGGGGTGATGCCATGCAATCGATTGTGTCTTTCCAAAGGGTGGCCTTCCCAACCCATGGTCAAGGGTTCCAGCCTGCAGGGAATGGATTATTACGGGCAAGGCAATGATGATGGGGCAGCAGGCACTCCTAATCAGGCTGGCAACTTGAATAATCAAAATTGGTGCAGGGACATATACAAGCAGGACATGAGGCTCATGGACCTTCTCAGCTCTCAGCTGGCTAGGTGCCTCCGGGAGTTGTAGTTTAAAAAAAAAATCCAAGTTCTGGTTGTATTTAATTGGTGACGTTCTGAATGGAACACTGTGTATGGCATGAGAAGATCAGCACAGCTATATACAGAGAACTCCATTGAGAGAAAACAAATTGGCCACAGCAGCAATGAATGATTAAATATGGATAAGTGCTGGCTTTTTCCCCCCAATACTGATTTTGGGTTTTCATTTTTGCATGATTGAATTCTTGAATTTGTGCTACTTATCTAAAGCCACCCTGCATTAGAAATCCCCCCAATACTGATTTCAGTTTTTCATTTTTGCATGACTGAATTCTTGGATTTGTGCTACTTACTTATCTAAAGCCACCCTGCATTAGAAACCATAAATATCACCATTTCAACAAGTATCCATGAAATAACTCTTTCAACTTTTCTTTAAAAATATGTACATAAATGTGTGGGATGAGTTGTGATGATCTGCATCGATAGCGGCAAACGGGTAAAACGACATGTTGGCACATCATCCAGCTGAGGGCACCTCACGGACATCCTGTTCAGGCAACGGGGCTCTGCTGGGTCTGTCATTGGTGGCGAGCCCAGCGCGCCCCGCTTTGCAAGATACGGCACCCGCCGGCCATCGAAACAGCCGCAGACCGCCTTAACGCGTGCAAATTTTGGCGTTGGTGGGAAACGTTAACTTTCTTTTGTAACGGGGTGTAAAGGAACCCTTGAGCGCACAGTTACGGTTCTCTTCCTGCAGATCCGTTGCACGTGGCTTATGCTTCAGTCCCCTTGCCTTTTTGGATTGTCCCACCAGCCATCTGAAACACTGCATTTGGACCCGCACAACTTTCCTCGCTTTACACGCCCCCCCTCTTCCCCCGCCCGCTTATGAACGGGCACTACCGTCGGCCTTCCTTAAGGAAGGACCGGAAACGGCACCGATCCTGCTCAATGTTGATCAGCCGGGAAGGGAAATTCTGGTCAACCGACTTTTCCACCGCCGTATGCAGTATGCATGTGTGTGTGTGCGCGCGCGGGTGTGTGTGTGTGTTGTTTTTGGAAACACAGAGGATGCTTTGCAATGAAGGCAGACAGCGTCCGACGGCCCGCCGATCGACCGGACGGACGGCTGGCTGGCCTGCCTGATCTGGCCCGCGGCCCGGGGGCTCACCTGGTCTCCTGGTTGCTGAACTTCTTCGTCACCACCTTCCCCAGATCCAGCCCCAGCCGGTCGGCCACGCGCTGGGACAGATCCTGGTGCGAGCTGCCGCTGAAGAGCACGATGTTGGGCATGGCGAGGCAGGCGCGCGCGCGCGAGCAG